GTAATCCCATAGCACAGACACCAAATCTGTGGTTTGTCCAATATGTGCCTCGATGCCCTGGGGAGACCCTTTTGTTCCACTACCTTCTGCCATTTTTTTCAGGCAACTTCATAATTCCCTTTTCCCAAAACTTTTTATCTGTTTGAGCAAAGAACTTTTCCAGGTGCTATTTAGTCTTCCAGGAAATTGAAATTTTTTCCATTAAGAGAATTTTCTAAAGACCGAAATAAATGGAAATCCGAAGGTGCAATGTCTGGTGAATACGGCGGATGAATCAGAACTTCCCAGCCAAGCTGTGACAGTTTTTGCCTGGTCATCAAAGAAACATGTGGTCTTGCGTTATCCTGACAGAAGATTATGTGTTTTCTGTTGACTAATTCTGGATGCTTTTCGTCGAGTACTGCTTTCAGTTGGTCTAACTGGGAGCAGTACTTGTTGAAATTAATGGTTTGGTTCTCCGGAAGGAGCTCATAATAGAGGACTCCCTTCCAATCCCACCATATACACAACATCACCTTCTTTGTATGAAGACCGGCCTTTGGTGTGTTTGCTGGTGGTTCATTTTGCTTGCCCCACGACCTCTTCCATGCCATGTTATTGTACAGTACCCACTTTTCATCACCCATCACAATTTGTTTTAAAAACAGAATGTTTTCATTACATTTATTCGTTTTGGTCTTTTAAAATTTATTTATTTTATTTATTTTTGGCTGCATTGGGTCTTTGTTGCTGTGTGCAGGCTTTCTCTAGTTGCAGCGAGCGGGAGCTACTCTTCGTTGTGGTGTGCAGGCTTCTCATTGCAGTGGCTTCTCTTGTTGTGGAGCACAGGCTCTAGGCACGTGGGCTTCAGTAGTTGTGGGACGCAGGCTCAGCAGTTGTGGCTCGCGGGCTCTAGAGCGCAAGCTCAGTAGCTGTGGTTCACGGGCTTAGTTGCTCCGCGGCCTGTGGGCTCTTCCCAGACCAGGGCTTGAACCCGTGTCCCCTGCATTGGCAGGTTCTTAACAGCTGCGCCACCAGGGAAGCCCTCATTATATTTAAGTAGAGAATCACATGCGGAAATATGGTCAAGGAGGGTTTTTTTTTTGCTTAGCTTATGTGGAACCCAAACATCAAAGCGATTAAAATACCCAAGCTGGTGCAAATGATTTTCAATGCTTGATTTGGATATTTTGAGTATTTTGCAGGTTATCTCCTGCATGGTATAATGTTGATTGTTCTCAGTTAATGTCTCAATTTGATCACTATCAACTTCAGCTGGTCTACCTGACCGTGGAGCATCGTCCAGTGAGAAATCTCCAGCACAAAACTTTGCAAAGCACTTTTGACACATTCAGTCAAGTCACAGCACCTTCTCCATACACTGCACAAATCTTTTTTTGCATTTTGATTGTGTTTTTACCTTTCTTGAAATAATAAAGCATAATATGCCAAATATGTTGCTTTTCTTCTTCCATCTTCAATATTAAAATGACTACACAAAAATTCACCAATTTTGATGTCTTTTTTAAAATACATGCTGATGTGACAGCTGTCACATACAATCTAACAAAATTGTTTTAAATGAAGTTAAAGACACCTAAGTGCTACTACAGCCATCGTATAGAAAAAAACCGAATGAAACTTTCAGCCAACCCAATACCTTAGGGGAGTTGAAAGAGGCTTCTAGGAGGTGTTGCCTGAGCTGAATATTTAAAAATAAGTTTGTATTTGTTAACTGGAATGGAATGGGAGATAGTAAGGAGATGATTCCAGGTAGAGAGAATTAATATAAGAAAATATATAGAGAACTGTTGTTGCTCAACAATGATGGAGTGTGGGTTTGGGGCAAGGGTGCCAGTGAAAGACAGACTGAAGAGGAAAGTGGGATCCAAATCCTGATAAACCTTGAATGGCATTCAGTGGGCATTTCACTTTATCACCTTATCCTGTAGGGGAAAGAGATCAATGGGAAGGGCTTTGTGCAAAGCAATAGCATAACCATACTGGTATTTTAGAAAAGTAGCAGCTCAGAGGAGGACTTTAAGACTGAAGGCCTAAACCACTTAGGAGTTGAAATATAGCCAGGAGATTATGACCTGGATGAAGGCAATAGCGTTAAGCATGCAGTGAGAAGAAAAAGAGATGTTAAGGTGTAAAATCCATAGGACAACATGTCTACTTGGATGTGGGAGCAGATAAAAAGGTGCCAGAATAACTCCCAAGTTTCTGACTTGGGGGACTGGTTAAATTATTGTGTCATTCATTGAACCAGACCACACATAAATAATAGCAATTTAAGAAAAAAAAAACTCTTCGAAGTTAGATCTTATACATATTGCATGTGAATGGCCAAAGTGAAGCTGTCCAACAAGCATTTGAGTACATGGGTTTAAAACTTGATGAGACCTAAGCTGGTTATAGAGATTCAGGTATTGTCAAATAACTGAATCTATGTGATATAGCTTCACTCACAATATATTGTTTGAGAAGAGAGTCAAGAATAAAACCCTGGGGAACACCAAATTTAAGAAGCAATTTAAAAGAAAAAGAAAAACACAAAAAAAGAAAAGAAAAATAATTGTCAGAGAGGTAGAAAAAGGAACACTAAGGGAAGATAAGTTTTTGGAAGACAAATATTAAACTTGAAAGACAGATTGAAGGACTGATTATTTGGAAATTTGAATGCCAGGATAAAAAATTTATATCTACAAAGGAAGCATTTATTATTTTTGTATTGGGACTATAGCCTAATGAAAATGATGCCTTAGTAAGATGTAGTCTAGGCAGGACAGTCTGTTAGAGGGAAGAAAATTGATAAAGTCTTCAACTAGAGTGGTGGCAGTTATGACTAGAAAAAGGAATGTCAAAATAAAAATCAACAAGTAGTTGGTGACTCGCTGAATATTACTTCTTTTTTTGGATAAATTATGAAATTTATTTATAAAATTTTTCCTTTTAAAAGCCAGAACATAACAAATATCACTTTCTGGAAACTCATCTTATTAGAAATATCAATAACATTGAGCAGTCTGTCCTCTGTGCTTCTAATGTCTTCTGCAGAGAATTCAGTGTATTTTATTTCACTTATTTATTTGCACGTATATTTCTTTCAGCTAGTCTGTGATTGCTTGAGGGTAGGTACTGTATCTCATTTATCTTTGCATCCCCAGGACTCAGTTTCAGTGGCTAACAGAGTGAGTGCTTAGCAAATCTTTACAGCTTCCCAAAATTACACAGCTTCCCAAATCCTGTTCTAGCTGAAGTAATCCATGTATCGTTTCTTGAGCCTACCTTGAGGGACCTTGTTACCTACTTTCTTGAAAGTACTTTCTTGAAAGTTACCTACTTTCTTGAGTTACCTTGTTTGGAATACTCAAGGGGCTGTGTAATGTAATAGTTGAGAGCGTGGATTTTGGAGCCAGACTGCCTGAACTTAAATCCTGCCTCAGCCACTTTTTAATTGTGTAAACCTTTGGCAAGTTACCTAAATTCTTTGTGCCCCAGTTTCTCCTTATATAAAATGGAAACAGTAGTTACTGCATTTTAAGTGTGGTTGTGATGATGAATCACATTTTTATCTAAAAAAGTGTTTAGAATAGGAATTGGCAAATACTAAGCACTCAGTAATATTAACTATTATTATTATTACTTCAATCAGTGTATTTATTTAATGTTTATTTATTTATTTTATCTATTTTTGGCTGCATCGGGTTTTCTTAGTTGCGGCACGTGGGATCTTCATTGAGGTGTGTGGGATGTTTCGTTGCGGCATGAGCTCTTTGTTGTGGTGTGCGGGCTTCTCTCTAGTTGTGGCGTGCCTCTTCTCTAGTTGTGGTGTGCGGGTTCCAGAGCACGTGGGCTCAGTAGTTGTGGCACGCGGGCTTAGTTGCCCTGCGGCATGTGGGATTTTAGTTCCCTGACCAGGGATCAAACCCGCATCCCCTTCATTGTAAGGTGGATTCTTTACCACTGGACCACCAGGGAAGTCCCAACCAAAATATTTAAACTTCACTTTCCTATTAGGTTATCAGAGCTGATTTTTAGAGGAAATTCAAGCCAAATATTTAATATTTCAAAAATTAGATCAAGTAATAATTATGTCCCCTCCAGACTCCGGAAACAATTAAAATCCAGTTAATTTTTGCTCAGCCATTCCTGTTTTGAAAAATTTTCATCCTGTTTTCTATGTAGACAAGTAGTGCCAGTCCTAGGTTTTGTTTAGTTTTACAGTCAAACAAGTCCATTTGGTCAAGAGTCTTCCATCCTTCAGGAGGCTGGTAATATTTTCCATGGTTATTTTGTGGCTTACTAAAGTTTGAATAGTAAGTACATCAACTGATATGTGCATTTCAAATTGTTGGACTTGTTCTAGTTTCAAGTCATCAAAGGAATGACTATATGGGCATTTCATTTCCTTTTCCTTCCCACTTAGGAAGATTCTAGGGTTAGTGTCTCAACTATATCTCTATGTGGCTAAATCACAGCCTCACATTTCCTTTACAATACAGTTGCCTGAACATCATTGCATAGTGGCATCACATGATTGGAAAGCAGTGTATTTTATGAACGCCATCACACACACAAGTGCACACACACAGTCATAACACATCAGATCAGAAAAAGCTTATTAACATAAAGTACAATGGCTTAGGGATTCTGCATTTGCTGATCTTTCTTGAATTATTTTCCTTGGAAAACTTTGAATTCATAGTTACCTAAAGGCTGAGGTTAACTTGCCAGTAGCAGATTTGAGAGATGAGAGCTAATGTCAGGGGATAGATGTTTTCTTTTACAAATAACACCGTTAGATATTGTTCTCCACCACCCATGCCCAAACTGCTACTCGACCTATGAAACAAATAGCACCACAAACACAGATAACCCCAGGCTTCAGGTCTGTAATCTGACTGTGGCCATCAGCAGCCAGAAATGAGTTTCTTTCTAATCAGCCTTCCATCAGTCCCCAGTCACTCATATAAAGGTGCCTGGGGAGGGGAAGATTCACATTGCTTTTTCTTCAGCACCAGGGTTCTGGGCAGCGCCCTGAGAGGTCCACTGCTCGCACGCCTCTTCTCTCAATCTCCACCAGCGCTGCTACTGCCTCTCTAGTCCCCCCCTGCTGCAGAGAGAGAAAATTACATCGGAATCCATGCAGCCGGCAATGATGATGTTTTCTAGTAAATACTGGGCAAGGAGAGGGCTTTCTCTGGATTCAGCAGTGCCTGAAGAGCATCAGCTGCTTGGCAGCATAACAGTGAGTACTGAGTAGCTGGCACTCTCTAGAGGAGTGTTTTCTAGGGTAGCGATAGTTATCCTTGCCATTTGGACACCTGCTGTAAACACCTCAATTCTTTCCTCTATCGTCTGTCTACCCTGCCTCCACTCTTCCTTCTCTCTCCATAAAGTAAAGTGGGTGTCCTGATCGCTACGTGCTAAACTTCCTTTCCTCAAAGTTTATAAGTTGAAAGTAAAGAAGTTCCCGAACATTATGAATGAGAGGTTGTATAAACCAATGTCTTATATCAAAACCAAAAAAAGTGTGCAGAATTTTGAAAGACCATTTATTATGAGTTGGAACAGGGAGAAGAAATTAAATAGATTTCTGTGGTTCCTGCAAGGTTATTGTGTCTTCTGTACCCTCTTCCATCTACAAAACCTGGTCTTTAAACACAAAGTAATATTTTCTGTTTTTGTCTATAGGTGCTGGTTGTTGGAATAAGAGAAAGATCAGATTCCTCTCAAAAGTTTTCCTGTGTTCCTTATTACTCCATTATTTTTCAGTTTAACTGATGGAGTAATGAAAGCAATACACCACTTATTTCAATGTTTAAGGCAGTTTCTGTGTTTAAATAATAACAGAATAAAAAAGTAATATTTTGCAGGATTTTAGATCCTGATATGGGGTAATAGTCATAGGATTTAATAAAAAAGATAGTGAAAGAAAAATGTATTCAGATTTCTAGTTATTAAAAATATTAAATGATATTTCATTACTGTCTACCAGAGTTTATCAACCAATTGAAATTTAGTCTGTATCATAGAAAAATCTGTTTTAGTATTGTAGCTCCGAATATGTGCCAGAGGGTTGTATTGTACTGGTATATTATTACTCCTAAAAATGTTGAAAAGTAATCAGGGCAAGTTTTGGAGAACTGTTTAAATCAATTTGCAAAAATGAGTCTAAAAACGTACATAGGTTTTCTAACATTTAAATAACATGTATATTTGAATGCGATATTACAGTGAGGAATTCTGAAGCCACAATGAACTGCTAGAAGGAAAACAAGGAAAACTCAGAGTTGTGGTTAATGTATAATAATACTTTCATATAAAAAATGCTACTTAAATATATAAGATCTGTGGCAGATGTTGAGAGTACTACAACATTTGAGCTTTTAATGACTAAACAGACTGTCAAATGCCAATGCCTATATAAACTTTTTCTCTCCCTCAAGTCATAAATTATAAAATATTTATTTCTATGACATATAAACCTAGTGAGTGAGGCAGTAGAGACTGTGTGAAAATAAAGCCAGTAGAGAAATCAGAGGAAGAAAATAGCAAAGCACTATTCACTGGGTTCCATATCAAATGTACATTTTTCAGTTTCATGAGGAAGTAATAGATTGGAATGACTGCATTCTATTACTCTCTGCCAGGGAGAAGGTTCTGTTTGCCCAGTTCTTCATTTGCATATAAAGAACACAAAAAAGTACACTCTAATTTGATTTGTCTGTTAAGTAAAAGTTTCCAGCTTTTTAATTGTATATTTCTGGCAATGTGATCTGAGTTTCTGGAATCTGCCATTTTTGTCTTTAGCTAATAGACTAAGAGTCATTACTTAGTCATGTATTATAGTATTTGACTGGCCAATAAAGTGGTAATCTTTTCCAGTTTCTCAGGTTCTACTCTTGGCTCCTGATGATGAGCTAGTTCTTTCTTTTCTTTACTTTTTTCTTGTGGCTGAATTTTAATAGCCACTTTTCAGATATCATCTGCTGACACAGATGGCCTTAACTGAATACACTCTGTGGCGAACTTCTGCAGACAGATTCACATTGACAGTGTGGATCTAATTACAGAATGTAAGGTGATCAATTTTAGTGCCTGTCCTGACATATTTCAGAACAAAATGAATATTTTGTTTTTAAGATTTAATCGAAACAAAAATTATATGTTTAGTCTTAATTTTGTTACGTTTAGTAATTAATATAGCTTCTATATGATTCAGCTAGGCTAACAGATCAGATTTCATCCTGTAAAATAAACCTAGAAAGACAGGAATTATTCATACATGATACTTTATACTTTATGATGATCAGATTTTTGTTGCTATTAAAGTGAAGCAAGTATGATTCCCCTTTAATTTCAACCACTGGTGATATCTTTGAGCATTGGAAAATAGTGTCCCTGAGTAAATTAGACTTGTACGAAAGTTATGAGTGACTTGGCAACTTCTCCTCGAGCTTGTGTGATTGCTGGGGCTTCCAGCGTATAAATGGAATGTCTGAAAAAGAATCTAGTTGTAGAGAACTCTGGAATCCTAACTAATATTTGTGTGTGTGTGTTTCTACGTTCTTGAAGCTAAATAAAACTAACGCTGGCAAAAATGATGATAAAAAAGGCAACAAGGGAAGCAGCAAAAGTGACACTGCTACCGAGAGCAGCAAGATGGCAGTTGTATTCTCCTTGAAAAATGAAGTTGGTGGATTGGTCAAAGCACTGAAACTCTTTCAGGTGAATGTAAAATATCATTATCTAACTTTAAAACCGTCTGTGTGCCGGGTTACAAACTTGTCATCTGTTATGAAATATTACTGAACCATTTCTGGGTAATGTGTTGCAAATTTCAAAGAAACCAACCTTCATGAGGCTTTACAAGACAAGTTGGTCTGTCAAACAAAGAAATAAGCAGATTCGTGGAAACCATGTTTTATTAATTCAGCGTCAGCCTATTAGTAATTCTGCACACTGTTGCCAGGTGAGGAAGCCGGTAATTAAAAAGCGTGAGCCTCACACCTGGAAATGCAAACACAAAAGCGGTCAAAGAGGGTATCTTTAAACATCAAGAGCCTGCAGCCTGATTTGATTTGTTCATATTTGAATCGTGCACATGTCCTAGAGCACATTTATTGCATAAAATGAGATATATTAGTATAGGTACTCGATATTCCCCGAAGCCCCATTGTTTCAAGAACTTAATGTGTCTTTTGTAAAGATGAGTCATTCTCCTTATATATGAGCTAGGGCTAGCTCTCTTTTTATCTTGTAGAAATGTAGTAGCCTTTTCCTAAGCCCAGGTGGGTGGTTTGTAACCTCAAGAAAGAGCCCCGTTGAGGGGGAGGTTATAAAAGGCCAGAGAACTGTTGCCTTTTGGCCAGGGCACACCTGATGGCTCCCCTACCCTTCAGCAAGCACCTCCTCTGCCAGTGCATTTTGTTTGGGGGCACGGGCTGTGATTAGAGCTGTAGGATAGGGAGCCTAGCTCTGCATGGTGCCTTGGGCTGCTGGTGCAGTGGAAAGAGGGTTGGAATTGCAGTCAGAGGATTCAGACCTGTGTTCTCCTGGCTTGGCTAATCACTAGCTGCTTCCTAGGTTCAATTGCTTCATTTGAAAAATAGCAGTAATAATTCCCACCTAACAGGGTTGTTGTGATGAAATCATATGAGTGGAAGTGCTTTGTAAAGGGTACAGATATGAGGCGTTATTGTGATGCGTCTCTGATGACCATAGAGGGGGAATTAGCAGCCTGTTTTTGCAAATATTTCCTTGTTCTTTTTTGACCTTGAAGAAAGGATCAGGCACCATAAAGAGTGGTAATGGAAATCTGGGGAAATATTTTACGCATAATTATATCATCCAGCATTGTCTCCATACAGTTCCCAAAGGCAGGGCAATTCAATTAGACAGCTGGGTGCAGTGGAAAAAATCCCTGGAGAAGGAGTGAGCAGCCGTGAGTTTTCACTCGGCCATCAGCTAGTCATGGGGTCTTAGTTACATCACTTAACCCATCTGGACCTCAGTTTCCTTGTCTAAAAATATCCACTTTGCTTCAACCAAAGGACATTAAGAGCCCAAAGTGACACAGTGTGTGAGAAGACTCTTGAACTTTGAACCTAATGTTAGTCTTACCTTTATTATCTGCTGATTTAGAAAATAGGGCATTATTGCAAAAGTTATTAAAAACAGAAATAGAGCATTTAGCGTCCTGGTCAAAAGACTAGTTTCTTTATACAGAAAAGGATGCCATCAGATTTTATCTTAGTCTGGTACCGGAAACTGCCTATCTGCTGCTGTGCTGAAAATTCTGAGGTCATCCAGGATTGGATGTGGAATTATGCTGATAATCAGAGTGTATCATGGAGTGATGGGGAGGGATCCGCTTATTTGGGGGTAGGTTAGGGTGGAGAGGAGAACTTAGTCTTCAGTTAACTCAGGACAAAGGAAGACTGTATCACTGGGAAAATTTAAACCTGAGATTTAAGTATTAAATTTCTGCCCTTCTACGAACACCTTATTGTAAGGAGATTTTAGCCATGAAATCCATCATGATAGTTGCAGCAACATATCCTTGGATGAAGCTAGCCTGGAGGTTGCTGAAAGAGACCAGTTACTAAGTGGTCCCATTAAGGATTCTTCTTTTTCTTCTTCTTTTTTTTGCCTGCAGAGATCCTTTTTTAGCTACTTTTCTTGCTTCCTTTTTTTTGTTCCACAATGGGGCCACGCCTTGGCCAGTGGTTCCCAAACTTCAGTCATTTTCATATCACCTTCCCAGTTTCTGTCTCATTTGCCTGCTATTCATACGATTAATTATTTTTTCCAAGATTTTAAGCTTTATTTCAAAAAGAGATGTTATACTACCAGAAAATCAGTAGTTTGAGTTTTAGGTTTTTTTGGAATATATATAAAAATAAATAAATAAATCTGGGGATTATATGACAATAAACTAAACAATCATGCATACCACCAGTGGGATGTGGATTGATCTGGGAAATGATAAAGTTCATAATTATCACACATTTTATAGGGCCCTTTATATATATTAATGTCCTCCCCTTGTTAAAAATGAGACAGGAAATCCTACACATAGTTACTATTCTTATTAATAGAGACAATGGTTGGAAAACATTTCCATGTTTTAGTCAAGCAAACGGTGAGAAGGTTGTCTTTTCCTCTTTTGTGGGCACTTGGTACCTTTTTGCTTACAAGTTGGACAAGAGCAGCCCATGGCATCCCTTTTATTGTGCCCTGAAGGTGATTAAGAGATGTTGCTTATATTTCCACAGGAAAAACATGTCAACATGGTTCATATTGAGTCCAGGAAATCCCGGCGAAGAAGTTCGGAAGTTGAAATCTTTGTGGACTGTGAGTGTGGCAAAACAGAATTCAAGGAGCTCATTCAGTCCCTGAAATTTCAAACCACGATTGTGACGCTGAATCCACCAGAGAACATTTGGACAGAGGAAGAAGGCAAGGCCAGTTTTTGCTTGTCGGGTGATTTTGCAAATCTGACAAATGTTGCAAAGGGGAAAATACAATCTGTGACCTAATATTTTGAACCTGCACTGTGTTTCCAGCAGAGCTAGAGGATGTGCCCTGGTTTCCCCGGAAGATCTCTGAGTTAGACAAATGTTCTCACAGAGTTCTCATGTATGGTTCTGAGCTGGATGCCGATCACCCAGTAAGTGTGCAGTAAAATCCATTCCACATGTGCTCTTCCAGCTCTACCCGTCTGCCAGGCAGTGTGCCATCTTCTGTGCTGTAATGCTGTATTATAGAGCAGTTTATTATTTATTCCCCATAACTGAGAGCAGACTTTAAAATGATAGTTTCCCTGTACATAGGCGTTGGCTGGAAGCAGGTTAGAAGGATGGCATTTCCACCTAGCATTTATTTTTAAAAGGGTTGGAGAGAGGAGGAGGGTATAAACCTTGGAGAATATTTCAACAGAATTAGACAGCCTGAAAAATACTTGAAGATGGTGACCCTTGGAAAAACAATGAACTGAAATTGATCACCTAGTTGGGAAACTGGGAAGGACTGTAGGCATTAAGGGGCTCAGTGAGAGAGTAAAATTCTCCTTGCTATTTTTCTTGCTTGGAGGTAGTAAGGGGTAGAGTAATGTGGTGGACTTCAGTCTCAGTGGAAAGGCAGAGGGTGATAGAATAAGACCATAATGGAAGATGCCTCTCTTTCCCCATCTACCCTGAATCTATTTATCGCCATCTCTCCTCTACTCCAATAAAAATGACCACCTTTAAAGAAATATGATATGTAGTAAGCATTTCCCATTATTCCCTCTCTCCCCCTTTACATCAGTTTTTATTTAATACAAGAGGCCTGGAGCTTCTTTATGGTCGGAATGAAGTACAGTTAATAGTCTGGGAGAAGCAATCAATATACTCATTTGTTACAAGCAACTCCCCCCCCCCCCCGTGCCCCTTCTTTAAAAATGAGCATATTAAAGGGTGAAACCCAAGCAGATTGGTCATGCTTATAGGAGACTTTGTGGTCTGAGGGTAATGGTTTTCAGATATTCATTTTATTTAAATGGAGGATATCTGGAAATCTGATAGTGAGACTGTAGGCAGTGGTTCTCTAAGTGTGGTCCTGGGACCAACCACATCAGTATCACCTGGGAGCTGGTTTGAACAAGCCCACACTTCAGTTTGAGAACCATTGCTTTAAAGGAAACTGACAACTTCAGCAAGAGGGAATTTCTCAGTGGAACCAGTCTTTTGGCAAAAATACAAATTCAAACCAATTCATAGCATACCATTCAAACAAATGGTCAAAAAAACCTAATTCAATTTCATGATTTTCAAAAAGCTGAATTCACTCAAAGACACAGTGTGTTATATTTGCCAGCATAATTCCCAGCAGTTCACTTGTAAGCTCCTGAACTTTAGAAAAATACTCAGAAGTGTTTTTAATAATCGTCCATTTGTTTATCTTCCCCTTCTCCACCTCAGAGGAGTCAGAATTAGCACAGAAGCCTGATTTAAGAGCTTAGCAGTAACAGGACTGCCCAGACACCAGCTGTTAATTTGGAGGATGACCTTGGGCAAGTTCCTTTACTTCTGCAACTCAAATTCTTTATGTAAAAAGGGGAAATAAAATGCTTATTGAGCTCAAAGGGGGTGTTTGAAAAGCCTAGTTAATAAAACAGCTGGAAAGCATTTTGGCAAGAGTGAATGCTTAATTCCAGGAAAGGAAATGCTGTATTAAATCATCCTGATCAATGCCTGGACAGTAAAGGATTTTTTGCTAACCTCTTATTTCCAAATGCTCCCCTTAGTCTAGTTTGGAAATTACTCAGCCTGGAGAAGCGGGTCAGAACAACCACAGGAACCACTGACCTTGCTGTGAAAAAATTTATTCTAATACCCAGCATAAATTTTCCTGGGCTTAATTTTGTTCCATTACTCCTAATTACACCCACCTTATGATACCTTCTCTTATTTTCTATGCAGCCATTTGAAATAATTGCAAGTACCTAGCAATCTCCTACCTTACTCATCATTTTTTTTTTTTACCGTATGTATTTCTTTTATAAGCACACCAAATATTCATTATGCACAATTTGATATTGGTAAGTTGGTGGTTTTTTATAAGTTATTATTTGATGAAGATAGAAAAAAGTTTCTAAGGAATTTTTGTGCTTGGGAATAATTCCAGTCCTAAGGCAGGGATGATTACGTTAGGATGGCACTCTTGTGCTGAGATGGCTCAGAAGGGGCTTGGAATGTGTCAGGCTGCTGAGGCTCCCTAGAAAGGGTTAAATATGTAGGTCCATCCATCTTAAACTTTAATGGACAAACAGATCACGTGGAGGATCTTTGCAAAATGCAGATGGGTGCACCTGAGATTCTGCATTTCTAGTGAGCTCCCAGTTGAGGCTTACAGTGGAGATCTGCGGACCACACTTTGAGTAGCAAGGATCTACACTGAGAGGGTCTTTCAAAGTGTGAGTCAACGTCCCTGCATAAGGTGCTTATTAAAAATGCAATATGTTGAAGCTCATCTGAAGCCTACTGAATGAGAACTTCCAGGGACGGACCCTGGAATCTGCATTTAAACAGATTTGCCAGAGATTCTGATGAACTCTAAAGTTTGAGAACTAATGTCCTAACTCAGTGATTTTCGGCCCTAGCTTTCCATTCAGATAATCTCTGGAGAACTAAAAAATTTCCTGTGCCAGGATCTCACCTCAGAGTGCTTAAATCAGAACCTCTGGGAATGTGTCCAGGTTTGGAGTGTTATTTAAAGCTCCGCAAATGATTCCAGTATTCCCCCAGGTTGACTTTTTGGGATAGCCAACGTACATTCAGCTGAGCACTTTTGGGTGCCAGCTGGGTCTTGATTTACATCAAGTTCCTCTTGATTTAAATTGAGAGAGGAAGGGTAGTGTGCAGCAGAGACTCTCTGGGTGCTAGTGTTGCCAGATTTAGCAAATAAAAATATACGATGCCTAGTTAAATTTGCATTTCACATAAACAACAAATATTTTTTTGTATAAGTATGCCCCAAATATTGCATGGGTGTTCTCTATTTTTATCTGGTAACCTTATCCCTGGCATCAATTTAGAATGGCTGGCCAAGGAATGCTGTGTCTCTGTAATCGCTAGTGTAGCTAGCATCCCTGTCTTGTTTTGCCAGTCCACAGTTCAACGCTGGAAGCTCTGGTTCACCCATAACACTTGTGTAATCACCGCCACACTAGGCTGATGAGGCATGATGAGTAAATCACTCTCTTTCATGCCTGGAAAAGGTGCAGGTGTTTGCCAAGGAGAGATACTCGAGATTCTCTGGGAAGCCCAGCAGATTACGGTGCTGTTACCATGGTGTCCGGTTGGGCAGGAACCAGGGAACAGATGCTGAGCTTTTCACATAACTCTTTTCCTTTTGTCACGGGCTGCTTTCTTTTTGAGTAATCAAGGTGCTTGGAATTCTTGTTTACCACCACCAGGTTGCTTGGTGTGACTAGTGAGTGTTGAAATTCATACTTTCTAGCGACCATGTCTACCCTCTATGGCATAAGACCTTTTCTTAGCTCACATACCCATTTGTAAAGGTGGTCACACATTTTGTAACTATGGTCACGAATTTTGCATATACACATTTGAAGGCTCCGCAAGCCTGCCTATGAACTCCTGTTTAAAAACTCCCAATTTGTAGCAGAAGAAAGAAAGTTCTAGCTTTAAGGGCGGGGAGTACTTCACTTCTGCAGGGCCTTTGGGTGACCTCAGGGCACTCGCTGTCTCCCTCTGTTAGTGACCTTTTGTCTTTCCTGAGAGAAAGGCTGTTGGCAATGGACGTTCTTTGTTTCTGTTCAGCATACGGTCCTGTGAAGATTTCTGACCGCAAGGCCAGTTCTCCTTCAGCTGGAAGAGAGAACAGAACGAGTTTCTCTGAGTTGAGGTTCCTCTTGAGTAGCCCCCTTGCGTAAGTGTCTGAGTGGACACTGGGTGAGCAGAGGTAGTCCAGGCCTTTGTGGGCCTGTCCCAGTTCTCCTTCCAGAGCCCACGACCCCTGCAGCCTGTCTCCTTGCCTGGCCTCCCTTCTCAGACTGGTCAGCAAGTCCTGGTTTCCCTTTGGGTTTTCAGGGTTGAGCAGGTAAGAAGTTAGATTGAAACAACTCCTGCTGGGCTTCCAGCTGTCTGAACAAACAACCCTGGAAAGAACTGATTGTCTGAAACTAGCTGAAGGAAAAGAAAATGGAAAGTCTGTTGACTAGAGGAGATGATTGAGTAAACCAGGAAGTCCTCTTAGAAGGATTCCACTTGATGGGAGAATGGCAGACAGGATGTTTAATTTCCCAAGTGCATGATGATGGGTAAAATCTTGAACTTGGCTGAAGACTAGTCAGAGCTATAGGAACTCAGGGGAATGGAGCTAGCCTGCTATCTTGCGTGGATCCCTTGTAATCGATTTTGCATTTGTGTGGCTGTACTCATAACATACAGCAAAACCTCTTTATTCATCCTAATTTGGGGTGTTGATGATTATTCTGAATGATAGAATTTTAATACATGTACACTTATTGGTAATTTACACAAAGCAATTAAATTTAGGTTCTTAGTGAAAAATCCATGTTAAAGGGACCTATTTTAATGAACAGATAAGATTAATTTGTAATTAAGATCAATTGCATGTAAATGATACTTGAAAACCAAAGGATATTTTTCACAATATCAGTTTGCTTAACTAAGCCGTTCTGCCTACTTCATGGAAAGGTTAACTTTAGTCTGAATTCCCACACATCCCAAATTAAGACAGCCCAAATTTAATGAGGTTTTACTGTAAGTACAATTCGCTTCTGCCTGTGTCATCAAGGTGGTTATCCAAGGAAAAAAAATTACATTTGAATTGGACACTCAATAAACATCACAGTGATTTTTTTTAGGTCTTCTGCAGCTAATTTTTTTGGCAGTCTGTTAAATAACTTAATCTCTTTTCTGTTTAAGGGATTTAAAGACAATGTCTATCGACAGAGAAGGAAGTATTTTGTGGATGTAGCCATGGGTTATAAATAGTAAGTACCTGTGTAACTCTTTCCTGTGACTTGTTGCTGGTGAGTTAGGAAAAACACATGATGTGTTAAACAGACCTGTCTTCTCTTCACTTTAACTTTTGCAGAAAGTAGACATGAACCATTTTAAACACTCACCAGCTCTGTAGGCTTTAAATGCCAACACGGACATTTGACATCCGGGATATAATTGTAAAATAATGAGAGCTGCGGGCCACATACCAAGTGCTACGTTTTCACCATTGTACTCATAGCTCAGCTAAGGCAAGGAGCCATCTTTGTACACTCTTCAGGGCCTGGAAAGTGTTTTCATTTTACTTTTTTTTTTTTTTTTTTTTGCGGTACGCGGGCCTCCCACCGTCGCGGCCCCTGCCGCAGCGGAGCACAGGCTCCAGACGCGCAGGCTCAGTGGCCATGGCTCACGGGCCCAGCCTCTCCGCGGCACGTGGGATCTTCCCGGACCGGGCACGAACCCATGTTCCCTGCATCGACAGGCGGACTCTCAACCACTGTGCCACCAGGGAAGCCCCCTAATTTTACTTTTGACTTGACTTTTCAGTAACGCCCTTCCATGTCCAGCTTCCCCAGTGAAAGTAGAGGATTCAGCAAGAATGGTGAAAAGACTCATGTAAGCAGCCATAATAGAAATGTCTTTGCTTTACAGGAAAAGGAAAGCTTCCTATAAACTGGAGGGTTTATGGAAGAGTTTTATATCCAGTCCGGGATCAGTGTTGGGATGGAAGTGGAGAGCCTCAGGACTGGGCTGAGGACTGTGCATAGTGCGTGGTGCTAAGTGGCAGTGACAGGAGGTTTGTGACCGGCAACAATGCAGTGGTCATGACCGCAGGCCACACGTAGAAAGCTGGAATGGATGTTAGGCCTCTATTTATTCTGCTCGCACTAATAAAGCTTACGGACCATTGTAGCACAGTCACTGTCTTTCCTTTGGTATGTGATCACCTACATGAATCTTCTGATCAGAACAAAACGTAAATCCATACCTGGTAGGGAAGTGTCTTTCTTATTCTAGTTGAGACTAGTGAGAATCTTGACTGTCCTGTAGGGCAAGTTTGTCTTTGGTGAGAATTTAGGACATTACACATGTTACAGCCGGTACCAGTGTTTACTTTTTTTTTTTTTTTTTAAAGGAATCTGACATATAGGTGCTTAAAGCAAAGTGAGAGGATTCCCAACCACACCTTTGATTGACAGTCATTTGCTCATTTCTAACCTCCTTTGATGCTTTGTTGCTCTTCTCTTCCTTCTCCCAGACATCCTTCATTCTTTCTCCACCATGCTTATTAGCATGAAAACCAAGATTCTTTGGCAGACGCTTTTCCACGTGTGTCTACTCCAGCCCCATCTCCTCTGTTCCAAGCAGGCTCTCGACCCTCTTTAGACAACTGTGACTTTCTGCCCCCTCACAACGTCAGCATGCTCACAGCTTGTCCTGGCCCGAGCCCAACCTCATGCCCCCTTTTTACCCTCAGCACCGTCACTCACTAGATCCATCTCCCAGTGTTTCCCAGGCAAATGCCAAGAGAGGACTCTGATTGGCCACATTCACTTTTTCACATCAGGCCCTGATAAATGGAGCTTTAATACTAGTACCCCTTGGATCACAGATCCTCCGTGTGGAATCAGGTCATATCTGCATAGATGAGTGTAGGCAGGACAGGCCTTTGGGGCATGACCTGCGTAGGACTTGGTAAAAGCTCAGTTCTTGGCAGAGACTTTCTCTTTAGATAAAACAGATAGATAAAAATGTATTTTGTACATAGATGCTGTATGTAATGTATCATATATATAAGAACAAAATATGTATGTATGTACATAAAAGATTTTGTTAGCATGGTGACCAAGGGACTACCTCAAATATTAGTTATTTCTTCTTGCTAGAGCCAAGAAACTGGACAAGGACAAGCTGGTAATGTGGTGGCACTAATAAAACTGGTATGTATGCGTCAACCAGTTTCAAGGAACATTGATAATGGGCGGTCTTACGGTTTTAAAGAAAACATACTTATGTGGAGAGGAGAGGAAAAGAGCATATAGTTAAAACAATGGAGGGTGAGGCCCTCAAAGTGTTAACAAGAGTTTGCATTTGCCATTTTCCCTCAGCTAAAGCGTGAAATTGAGGTGTGGTGTCTATGGAAGACAAAAGTAAGAACTGGAGGTTGGACGTGGTGGAGGTTTTATACAAAGGAGGGCTGCATGCAGGTAGAGCATTCCAGGATCTGGTCCCGGTTTGGAGGGGCCTGACTTAGTTCAGGAGGCTGAGGTAGGCAGGGCACCACCAATTCATCATTACACAGGGAGAAACCACTCTCACAGCATGCACAAAACTCCCCCAGTCATGACCCCAGAGAGGCCAAATTACACTATTCGGTGGATACAGAGTCAAAGCAAAGGGTGTTTAGCGAAGGGAGTTTGGAATCCAGGGACATTAACCCTCTCCCCTGGACAATGCTGGCTACGTAGAGTAACAAAGTGATTAAAACCTAGGGTTTTGGAGTCAGGCAATGTGGGGTTCAAGCTGTAGCTCCACGACTTCCTAGCTGGGTGAGCAGCCTCACTCTGCCTCTCAGGTCCTCCACCTGGGACGTATGTCAGGATCACGAAAGAGAACGCATATGCTGTGTTGGGCACGGAGATGGCACATGATTTGTGATCATAAGTGCCTGTTACTGCTATTACATCCTCCCTCTCCCTTTCCTCAGGCTGTCTTCAGTTTCCTGATCTACTGGTTTATTCTTTAGCTATGTTAACGCCATTGTTTATGCTCCACCTTAGCAAATACTATAGCTCAAACATCCGTAGAAGTAATCCTTGAAAGGAAACTCCTCCAGTTTCTCATTTAAAGGCTGCTCATCTACTGATACTTTTCGTGCTGACCAACCTCGCTCTTTATGGAGAGATTTCATAGAAAGCGATCGTATTCCCATTTGTGTGTGCGGGAAGCTGCCAAGATACTGAGAACAGATCGCCCGTTGCCTTAGGTGTTTCTTGTACGTGGACAGTGTGAGGAAAGTGCCTGCCAGGAGTGGTTAATCCTGGAAAACACAAACCTAAGACTTGAGGGAAGTAGAGAGAAAAGGATCGTTCCTTAATGCCCCTCATGCCATCATTGCTGTGGCTTCTCTGAGTATGACCTTGAGAATGGATAAGGGCTAGCCATTGTGTGTGTGTGTGTGTGCACGTGCGCACATGCGCGTGCAAGCTCATGCAGTAGTGCTGGTGGGGTGGGGCACAGGTGCTCACAAATCCCAAGTGGGTCTGAGCCACGGTCTCCAGTGTGCCGTGTAGTAAGGAAGGTTTCCTTTTGGTTTAACAGAAAATAAAGATGCAATTTCTAATTGCAGTACGTATTTTTCTAGTGCTGATGGCTTTCCGAGTGAGCAAAGGAAAAAGACGTCAATACAATAATTACTTAAAATCAGCTCATTTGTGTGGCTTCTGGCAGCGTGCTGCGATCTGATTTTCCAAACCAAAGCTTGGAACCACGCTGGCTTGAAGAGAAGATTATCTGAAATTGGGGTGGTCCTGAAAAATCCAGCATGTGCCGTCTCTGCAAATATAGTTTGGTAATACTAAAATTAGGGACTGTTTGGACATGGGGAGAATAACTCAGTTCCCTGTTGGTAATTCATTCAGGTTTATGGGCCCTGAGAAGAAGTCCAATATATGGTGGTGTATTTGGTGGTGGTGGTGTAGCAATTGGCAGGATGGAGTCTGAGGTGTCAAAAGATCAAGAGAAGGAAAAGAAGAGAAATACAGAGTAATGTATATTGAAACCACGGCCAAGAAGCCCTCTGGGGAATTCATGTTGAATACTGTATTTTCTATGATAGTCTTGAGAGGATAAAGCAGGGGGAAAGAATCAACACAAGCAGAGAAAAATGAAAACAAATTCCACTCCACGATGGGACAACAGCAGGCTCAAAGTCTGTGTTACCATGAAACCTAAAGGGGAGAGGGAGTGGGGACGTTCAGCCTGCTGGGAACTGTTGATAGGTGCCACTCAGGGGAGTTTCTGATTGACAGCGTTGCCAAGAAACAGGATTGATAACCCAGAGGCCCGCAGACAGACCTGAGCTGCGGGGCCACGAGGGTCTGGAAGGCCTAACTGCCTGACCATTAACAGCAGAGGAAACATTCATTAATGCAAGTATCATTCTCCATAGCAGACCTGAGAAGGAAGGCTGTGGATGGGGAGGGCACTGTTTCTAAAATAATCGGTGAGACAACGGGCAGATCACACCCCATCCTCCTCCACCCAAATAAAAGAAATCCTAGTATAAACAGAAAAAGAAGCCCCCGGTGATTAGACAGTGTGAAGAGCCTATAGATGTGCAGTTCAGATGAAATGGAGGTGCTTGGGGGAGGGGGACTGTGAGAGTGTAGCTGTTAGGTTTGTCTGAAACCCTCCAGTTCTCTGCCATTGGCACCTTCATATTTTAAGCCTGGCATTAGCTTTGCTACATTTCTGTATGTAGGTTTCACCATTGCTGTATTGTTGGGGAAGAAAACTCAGTAATATATATTTTTTCAACTGACTAGATATAAACACCTTTTTCTTTGGGAGCTACTGTAATGATTATTCCTCAGCAATGGGCATGCATATTTAATTTAATTATATCTTTGGTGAGGGTAGCCGTAGTTATTTCAATCCATCTTACTGTCTTGGAAAGAGGCCCCGAGCTCTGACTTTAATTTTGCCACTCTTGTTTGCTTAAATTGAATACTACTGTGATTATGTTTTGTTATGAATGTGTTTTCTTCTGGTTGAAATCGAGGTGGTATATGAATCTCATGTTCTTTTCATGGGGTTGCTTCCTCTTTGATTTATTATTTTGTTAGCCCATGGAATCTGAAATGTAAACAGGTAAATGCAAATATCAATGAGTAAGGTAAACAAGGGAGTTCCAACATATCAGAATTTGCTTAAAGTTGAAAAATTCCCTAATTTGCCGAGAAAACTCATTTGATTTCAGATTAAGGGA